AAATGACCCTGTTCAGCAGCCTCCATCCCTTGCTTCAGCACCAAGCCCCTGACCTGACCCCCTGCTGAGGTTAGAGGTGCTGGGAGAGCCCCCTCAACAGCAAACAGTGCTAAAGAAAAGCTTGCAAAGAGCTACCTGGCTGGGATGGGGTTTGCTGAAGGCACCAAGAGCAGCCTCCAGCAAGGAGGCCTCCGCAGCAGACAGAGAGCAGGTCAGCCCTGGAGCACATCCTGCAAGGAGTAACCTAGGAAAAGAGGAAAAACAGAAGAAAAAGCAGAGCCCTAAGAGAAAAAAAAGCTACACAGCTCAACCAAGAAGAAAGAAACAGAGCAAACACAGCCCAAACCACCCACCCCAGACCCTTTTATACCCAGGACATGGCCAGTTTCCCACCCACCAGGGCAAACACCCCACTTAACAAGCCCACATCAAGCTGGATATGAAGCAGTTGTGGTCTCTCCAGACCCATAAAGCCCTCACATCAGCAGTTTCACCTGCAGAAACCATCTGGCCCCAGCCCCTGGCCATCTCCCCGTCCCAGTGCCTGATGCCTTGGTGCAGGGAAGGAGGCCAGAGCCTGCCAGAAAGCAGCAGCGTTTCTGAGCAGAGCTCTTGCAGAATCCCCATCCCTTCCCGCACGATGCGCAGCAGGAGCATCCGCAGTGTTCCCTTCCCACCTCAGAGGGAAGGAGCCGCGAGGCAGACAGAGTCTCTCAGCAGTGAAGTGCTGCAGCACAGGCTGCCAGGAGCCAGCTGGGATGCTCCTAAAGAGCATCCGGCAAGCCTCAATAACCTGGATCTGCTGCTGGAGCCCTGTGCAGCAGAGAAGCCCTTGGCTGCGGTTCCTATAGGGAGGCTGATGGCCAGTAGAGTCACTGTGGGGTGCCCCAGGGCTGGACCGGCCCCACTGATGGCTCCAACGGGGTGACTTTTGGTGTCCCCCCCAAAAACTGTGGGAGTTGTCCCTGCAGACAATGAGAATGATGCTGGCTCAGGGGAGCTGTGCACTGGGGAAATCTGGCTCCAGTCACAGCCTAAGGGGGATGTGTGGGACAGCAGCCTTGAGATGCACACACGGGGGGGGGGTAAACCCCACTGCTCTGTTTGCACTCGCTGTTGGAGGTTGTGGGATCCCATGGGCTGCTGTGTCCTCCCCACTGGAGCTGCACACTGTGCTCAGCATCCCTCCCTCGGGTAACCCACACAACCCCATCGCTGCCTGCGTCACCCGGAGGCTGGCATCTTCATGCCCAAAATCAGTCCCAGATGTGGAAAACTCAACAGCTAAAAGCAGCACGTTCCAGCCCCTTGGGGGTTTTGTTGCTAAAGCTGCCAGGCTGCAGTGGGGCTCTTGGCTGGCCCTGTCCACCACTGGTGCCTCAGGCTCTGTCCAAGCACGTCTGCCTCTCATGGGTGTTTAAAAATAGAAATAACAACAACCTCTTCTCCTTTGGCTGCCTGGTTGGAGAAATAGCTTAATTAGTTAATAAGGGGTTTAATTTGTTGTAGAGCTGTGTGAAGAACTTGCAGAGGGCGAGCTAAGTCAATAAGTCAAAGCAATGAGCCTTAGAGGTAGGCTGGTGAGGGGAAGGTGCCCCACCGTGACTGGCCATGTCCCACAGGGAGACCGGCCTCCAGCCTCAATAAGGATTTCTAGTCAGGCCTAAGGAGCTTCTCTTGGTGGTAAAATGATGGGGTAAATCAGTGTTTTTTGTTGTGATGAACAATTTTTGCCCACTTTAACAGGGCAGGAAGATGCTGCTGGCCCCAGATATGGCAATTCCCCTTTTCTGTAGATGTGCAGCTCCCAGTATCCTCCCAGCACTGGGATAAGGCAGGGAGGTGACCACAGCGCAGCTTTTATTCCCATACACTCAATGTATGAAGATGCTGCTCCTGATTATGGGTTTCAAAGTCTTTATGTCCAAGTGCACTGAGCCTGTATACCCAGATCTTCTGCACCCCTGCCCTGGCTGTCACAGCAGGACCTGATCCCTCAACACCCAGTCGCTTTGGTCAGCAAAGCTCTGTCAGCAAGCTTCTGCCTGATCCAAAACAAGCTGGAAATGAGTGTTTATCCATAGGAACATTTAAAAGGCATAAAATGGGTCTTTAGGTGGAGTCACGCTGCAGAAGAGATCAGCACTCCTTATCCCTAAGACTGGGGCAGGGAACAAGAACATGCGATGGCAACCAGGATGCTCAGTAACGGTTAACAGCTTTCATAAACATCCTTACAACCCTGGTTTCTGCTGGGCCTTGTTAAGGGTGAGCTCTTAGAGATGAGCAGGGTGGAGGAGACAGACAGGGACCTGATCTAGCTTTTGGCACAGGCTGTTTCAGCCTGTTAGAACACAAAGGTCTGGTGGGAAAAGCTGAATGCAGACTGCACCAGGAGCTCATCACCTCCTTCTCCATCCCTCTTCCCCACAAGGCACCACAGTGCAGCCCTGTTGAGGACTCTGGATCACATCACATAGATCTGATCAATTCAATGCATGGCTTTACCAAGCCCATGGTAGCTGGGCTTCCCAGGTAAGCCTCCTTGATCCCATTGAGCACTGGCTGATTTCCCAGCGAGGAAAGGATCAGTGCTGGGCCCAGAGCCAGGGAATGCTGCTGAGGTCCACACCAGGAGATGCCAGAGGAGCCAAAGGCTTCACCCCAGCAAGCCAAGGCAAACACACCACAAACTCACCCTTCTTCCCATAGCACAGCTCTCCTTGTCCTATTTGGGTGTTGCTATAGGTAATTCCCTGCTTGATGTCCCATCAGGGATGGGGGGGATGGAGACACCATTTCAGGATAAGACAAAAGGGCTCTTCCTTCCCCAGCATTAACCTCAGGCAGCTCTCGAGAAAAACTCTGGGCAATTAGTGGAGCAGAAGAAGATTTATAACTGAAATCGAGTTTGCAGCACTACAGGCAGTTCCCTCGAAAGCCAGTTTCTCAGAGACCAGAGGAAAAAATAAGGGGAGAAAATAATGGAGACAGAAGGGGGAAAGGGAACTAGTTAGAGAGGTTTAAAACCTCGCCAAAAACTCTATTTAGTTTAACATTGCATGATAGCTTTCATAATTCAGAACAAAGTGCAAATCTCTTTAATGAGGCCATTAATGACCCTTTAATTTACTCCACCAGGGCTGAATTCATAAAACATTTATGTTCCATTTACACAGGATTTTCCTGAGACTCTTCAGGGCAAGTCACCATCACAGAGCAGGTGGGATGAAACGAAGGGCTCTTCTCTTCTGTTCCCTCTCTTCTTCACCCTCCACGTGTGTCTTTTAATTCTGCCAGAGGAGCTGCAGGGACCCAGGGGGGAGAAGAGCCATTTCTGACCCTTCTGCACAGTAAATAGATGCAGAGTGCTCTCTTGTATTCATGCCCTAGGAACAATGAAACCCTTTTTATCATCTAGCTGGGGCCTCCATAGCCAGCCTTAAAAACCATCCTTATAAAGATCATTACAGCCCAGCTCTAGTTCATTACTTGCTTACCTGCTGGGACAGGTCTTGCTTGTGGTATTGGATTTGCTCTTGGGGCAGCACTGTTGATCTCTGAGCGTTTAGGGGGGATACAGCCCACAAGCTTTCAGGCTGCTTCCCACTGCTTTGGGGGGTGATGGAGTAAGGGATGGAGGGAGGCTTGAAGGATGCAGGTACCAAGGTGGGAGCTGAGGCTGCTGATGCTGACTGCTTTGCTTGCCAAAGAGGGTAGGGTGGGCTGGGCTGGGCTGGACTGGAAGCAGAGGTGCCTGCAGGGCACTGGTAGAGCTGGTAGCTGAGGTTGCCTCTTGGCATCTCAGTATCTCCTGTCCCTGCAGCTACGGGCAGCTCACAGAGGTGTCACAGCACACATGGGGCAGCCCCCCATGGTGAGAATGGCTTTCTCTGCTTCAGGACTGTTAATGCACTTCTGGCTTTGACCTAAGGAGGGTTTCTCGCACCAACAGAAGCAACATTCATGGCAAACTCAGGAGGACAGAGGTGCCAACCCACAAGAATCAGTCCCCCAAAAGCCTCTGCAGGGAGAGGCAGGGAAGATGCTCTCAGGCTTTTGGCAGAGGAGAAAGTTGGAGAGCACTGGAGAGCACATCAAGAGCCAGCATCTCCAATACCTGTAAATGACAGTAACAGTCCATGCCTGAAGGTGCATGGAGCTGGGTCTCCCCTCTACATGTGGTAAATTGTGGGGGCACAGGCTCAGAGGGAGCTTTATTTTCCATATCACAGCCCTCTCCCCCACACACACACCCAGGTTGGGTTGTCATTCCCATTTCCTTCTTCACCCCCAGTTTTACTGACGCAGGTCAGAAACCTGATGGACCATCGAGGCACTGACACTGCTTGCGTCTGTGTGGTTCATGAGTCATCCTCCTGGTTTCACAGCTAAAGGACTGCTGCCGCTGATGCCCTCTGAAAGGACACATCCACAGGAGCATCAGTACATTTGAAACCATGTCAATGTTCGTCGGCAGCAGGATATGTGCAGGTTGGGTATGTTATTGTAGGGTCTCTTGCGTGCATCAGGTTTTATGCACCAGGTTTGTGGTTGTAGAGTCATTTTTTTACTTCAGGGGAAGGAAGCAGAGAGGAAGATTGCTTGACCTGCCTGGTTCATTGGTGCAGAACAGCTTTGCAACAGAGGGTCAGGTTTGTCAGAACACTTACAGCACAAAAAGAAATTATGGCCCAAAAATCTTAAACATGGATAAAAAAAAAAAAAAATCAGTTAGAAAAAGAAAAAAACCACTTCGATGGAGAGGGGGGGGGGGAAAAGTAGCCACCATTTTCAAATATTCCAATCTCTTGCTCAAAAGGGATTAAGCATTAAAAGCACCAGGCCAGGATAAATAGAGAACTGGTCCAGTTCAAGTCCAAAGCATCCAGTGTCAGCAATGCAAGTGGTGTTGGAGGAGATCAGAGAATGGGAGGGGAAGGAACCTGCAGCAAGAAGAGGGGGCAAAACAGAAGTTGCCCAAGGGACCAGAACAGCAACAGTTAGCCCATTCTACCTGCCATAGAAGGAATGCTCTGCATCCCTGTGTGGAGGTGGGATGTGCCTGGTGAATGCATTTGTGGATCACAGAGGCAGGGAAAGCCACATTTCCTTCCTGATATCACCCCAAAGGGAAATGAAGAGGCAGGAGAGCAGCAGTGCTAAAGGGAGCCCAAAGGTGGAGCTGGGATCATTCCTGGAACGCTGTCCTATACAGTGACAGTCAACTGACAGAGAGCAGGGAAAGGAGTCGGCACAGGAACTGTCACACAGCCTGCCTGCAGATCCACATGCTCCAAGGGCTCTTGTTCCCATTGACTCTGGCAGGAAAGAGCTCTGGGCACCTCCAGGAACAAGTTGCCTTTAGCTTGACTGTTATTTGATTTCCAGAAACATCAATGCAGGGATCCCATCCAAACTGGACCCGGGTTGTTTACGAAGCACAGGCTGCCATTTAGTTAGAAACACATGGGCTCTTCTTATTGCATTTCCCTAGGAAAAAAAAAAAAGACAAAACCCAACAAAACAAACAGTGGTTTAAATTAAAGTGAAAAATATTTAGTAAAAATCAAAACTTGCACTCACACCCAGAGGCTTTGATGCTTCACAAGCACTCAATTCCTCCATCCCAGTTTCCCACTTAGCCTACAGCCATGGGCTTTGGATTGCTGAGGTTACCCATGTTGGCCATGGAGAGAGCCACACGGGGTCAAGACTTGAAATGCAAGCAGGCTCTTTAAGCTGCCTACATTTGTATAGATTCAACACTTCCAGGTAGCTCACAGATGCTGCCCTTGAGGACATGCAGTACTTGAAGCCAACAGATACCCCACCATTATGAGGATCTTTTCATACTTCAGATAAACCCAGAAATGCAAACACACCGAAAGGCCTCTATACATATATCCATGAGTGACCCGAGCTCCTCTGAGCAGTCAAAGATCTCTCTCCACCACTATAACTGAGTGCACACACACCTGAGCATCCTCATGCATCTGCTTTCCTTCTGATCTTAAAACCCCACAGGAGAAGGCAGCTGAAGCATTTAAAGCCTCAGTTTGGTCACTGACAGGCCCCAGGAGGTGGGGCAATGCTCACAAGGTGTCTGTCCTACTGGTGGTACTGATGCTGTCTGAAAATCAAGGTGGTTTCTCAGCCAAGCAAGCTACAAACAAGAAAGGATCAGCAGGCCAGTGGGAAAGCACTGTTTTCTTTAGTACAGCTGCTGGGGTTTATAATCAAGACTATCTGATACACTGATGTCATGCTAGTAATGGTATAACTCCATATCGGCCTAATGGCACAATGGGTTTACAAAAGGAGCAGTACATGCAGAAATATGCATTCATGCTTGCTAATCCCTCATAAGCCTGTAATCCTGATTCTTTCTTTTCCAAATAATAAGTGCAGCTCTATTAAGACCCTATCACTAGATGCATATGAATTCCTTTCTTCCTGCCTGGAATCAGCTGGGTACCCTACACATGATGGCGCAAGGGGAGATATGTCATCCCTGCCAGCCCTTAGGCCCCTGTAATGATGACTGTGATGGTGCATGCTTGAAAATACCATCCTGGGGCTTCTCCCTCACCTGTGCCAGGGGGAGCACATGGAAGCAGCCACAGCTTTGCTACTGCTTCCTTTCTGGAGGGTCAAAAGTTGCCTTCTGCCGGGCATTTCTGCATCAAAATGAAGCACATTTACTCACAGGCATGCAAGTCAGCAAGAGGATACCCACTGGTGTTTGACAGCCTCCTCCAGACAGCCCTGGCAGAGTTTTTTTGCCTCCTTCTTGCTAGTTGTGTCCCAGCACTGCCAAATTCCCACCTCAACCAGCAGACCCAGCCACAGACAGCAACTTCCAGGGACTCTTGGCATCAAAAGACATTTCACAGAATCACAGAATGGTTTGGGTTGGAAGGGGCCTTAAAGCTCATCCAGCTCCAGCCCCTGCCCCAGGCAGGGACCCCTTCCACTAGAGCAGGTTGCTCCAAGCCCCTGTGTCCAGCCTGGCCTTGAACACTGCAAGGGATGGGGCAGCCACAGCTTCTCTGGGCACCCTGTGTCAGTGCCTTCAAATGGTTCTTTCACAATCATTACTGGTTCTTTCATAACCATTCTCTAGCCACTGCATACAAAAAACCTGGAAATAACCTTTCCATAAGCGACAAAGTAATAGTCACTAATTCCACAATTTATTCTTTGGCACCAATAAAAGAAAATGAATTTTTTCTACAAAGAAGGAGAAAAAATATCTAAGGATTTGCTTAATTAAAACCACAACGTATTGAAACCCCAAGTAATGTTAATGACAGACAATTCTGTGTGTGTATAATTAGTAACTAATTACCTCAAAAATGACACTTTCTTTGCTTTAAAGCTATTCATCTCTCTTCTTGTTTTCTTTTCCTCTTGCATGTGACTGTCTTCAGGTACATCAAATCATGGAGCATCAGCTCCCCACCTTGCTCCATCTGCAATTCCTTACCTGCGGGCAGATGTGCCACATCCTCACCTCTAGCATCCCAATCTGCTCCAAGGAACAAACCCAGTCCTCCCTCCTCAGCATCCCCCTGCCTGGAACAGCTGCTCTCCATACCTAGAGCTCAGCAAAAATGGTGCAATTTGTGACTCCAGCCAAGAAGAGCCACTGGGATAGAGCTGACAGGCAGAACAGCTACAGCCTTCTGTACAGGGAGGCATGGAACAGGCTGTTAACCCAGCGTTATATACATATTATGCTTATAAGTCCTGATGTTAACCAATGTTATATATATATTTTAAGTATTCATGTATTCATAGCTATAAAGGCCTTTCTCTATTTGAATTAAATTGTATAACCATGACCTATTATCCCATAAGGCTTTTTAGTCATAAGGGCACTGAGATTATAGTGTTCCTTGGTAGTAGGTGCAGAAGCGTTCTGGAGGAGACAGGTGCTGGATGATCCTAGCGAGGCTCAGTAAAGAATCCAAAACCACAAGAACCAAGCAGCTCTGTAGCACAGCTGGCTTCACACCTGAAAGATCAGCTGAGGGGTTGGCTTTTCCTTGGGAGAAGGATGGGATGCCACTCGACCTTGTCCCTTCCCCAGGGGGGGTGCTAACTGCACCTACAGAGCGGGGACAACAGTGCTCAGAACATACTTCTTTTACACTCACATGTCCCTAGTGCTGGTGGCTCCAGCTTCCTACAGTGGTCCCTCTCTGCTCCCTGACCTGTGAGCCAGGCTTCCCTCTGTGGTGCTGCTGACGGTGATCCTGCTCACAGGCTCCATATGCTGTGTCCCTGACATGCTCTTCTGCCCTGCCCCTCGGAGACACTGTACCTGCTCACATCAGCACCTGCAAACAACATGACTTGTCACTGGCTCCCTGGTACTACTCATCATAGAGCCCAGATGCACCCTGGCAGCACCCTTAATGTTCAAAGGAAAACACAACCTCCTTGGAAAATGCTCTGCATCAGCATCCTGCAAGGAGCTCCTGTGCCTTTGTCCCTCCCTGTCCAGCCAGGAGATCACTGCAAGTCATGTTGGTGAGATTGGCAAGTCCCCTGCCTGGATCTTCACCTTTATCCAAGACCTGGGGACCCCTCTGGCTGATGGATTTGCGACTCATGGTCACACAGGCATAGGCAGTGAGATGCTCCCAGCCTGCCTGTCCATTCCCAGTGCACACCAGGGAGACCCTCTCAGACATGTTACCTCCTTGCTGTCTTGGGAATCATAAAGTGCTGGTGCCAGGATGCGCAGCGGTAGCCAGGGACGCCGGTGTCCTCTCATCGTCTCTGATGCTTCAGTTGCTCCAGCGCAGTCGGGGTAGAAGCAGCAGTGAGCTGGCTGCCGGCTGTTACGTTGGTGCCAGATGGTGGATGAGATTAAAAGAATTTGATTTTCAAATAATCCATAAACCTGGCTGAGCTAATGTCATTTCATATGCATTATCTTGTAATCCCAGGGAAGAGAACGTTTCAGAGCAAAGAGCCTTATTCTCCCTCCCTGCAAGGACTCTAACAAGCTATAGATAATCCCCTTTTTGTTGGAAAGGTGCTTACAGGGGACCTACAACACCCAGAGTGTGGCAAAGAGGCTGTGGCTCTGCACTAGTGCTTGAGAAGAAGACAACCAGGTACCCAGCACCACAGGGGCTGTCTTGCCCTGAGCTTCATAGTGGTGGGAGCAACACGTAGCAGGGCCCAAGGACACCTTGAACTTTAGACCCCTGGTCAATAAGGGAGGATAAAGGAGGAATTTTGTCACTCCTATCCCATAACAGTGCATGGGAGCCCATGCTGCATCACTGAGATAAGGGGGGAGATACCCTTTTCTAGGTAAATCCACTGTTATGACCCCTTTTTAGGGATAACCCCCCAAAGCACCCCTTCTGCACCCCCATCACCCTGCACAGCACCCTGAGCATCCCTCATCATTCCACCACCCACCCTCGATCCTCAGATGGTGCCTGCCTGCTCCCTGCCCCCCTGCCTCTTTTCTCTGTCCTAGAGACTCCTTTGAGGCTCCTGTTACTTGCCAAGCCTCCATGGACCAAGGATGACCCTCTGCCAACCTCTGGGATCCTTCAACACACAAGGCACCAAGCTTGGGCACAGCAGTTAAAAATCAGTGATCCTGACTCCATGCTGCAGGCTCCCACACTGGAGCAAGCCAGAGATGGAGCAGGAGGTGACTTTAAAGGGAAAGGGAAAGAAAGCTGCATGAATGGGATTTCTCAGTCACTGCCTGCCATCTAGTGCCTAGCATCGAGCTGTTTCACGGGCAGCAAGTGACATCCACTTACATCCTTAGGGGAATTTAGCTCTTAACGTAGAGCCAGAGACATCTGCATATCAGGCTCCCAGAGATGGAAAGTTCCCCGCTGTGCTCCTTACTGTGGGCCAAGGAGAGGGGTTTGGTGTCAAATAGCCCAAATCCTGGTGGGATCTGTCAAGGAAAGTATCCAAGGAGAGAGGGGAGGTGATGCTGTGTGCCTGCCTGGGTTGCAAACACGATGCCCAGCCACAGCAAACTATACAGACAAAATACAACAGATCTTGCTTCACTGCGTGCTGTTACCTTCAAGGTCGTGTTGCCATCATTGTCAGCAGCTCTGATCAAAGCAGCGCACACAGGCATTGTGTGAAGAATGCCACAGACAGGCTAAAAATAGGGAGACAAATAGAAGCACGAGGAAAAGGAGCGAAAGGTAAGGCTGTCAGCTGTGCAGGAGCCTGAAACCCTGCAGATAATCAGGAAATAAAAATAAGCTAGAAACACTGGCTTCATGACTCATATTCTGGCACTTAGAAACACTACTGGAGTTTCCCACCCAGTTCAACCTATGGGCAACCATTGCAGCAGGAACACGGTCCCTGCAAGCCATTTGTAGCCTTTGGGTTAGCACCAACAGCAGGTGATGTGGAGCAGTTTACAGGTCTTCAGGCAATTTGGGGGGGCTGGTGCTCTCCCTCCCTTCAATAGGGGTATGTATACCTGTGCTTGCCTTAGGAGCTGGTCATCTGGCAGCTTCTTGCCCCTCTGAAAGGGCTCTGATATCCACAAAGGCAGGAGAGAACAGGCAAGACAGCTACAGCTCACCCCAGTCCTGTTTTCCAGACAGAGAAAAATCAAGGGATATGACATCCAGAAGGGTCTGGGACAGGCAACATCCATCCTGCACCACATCCCCTACTTCTGCACAGAGGACAAGGCTGGACATTAGCTGTGAGCACTGAAGGAGCCATAGCAGAAAACTGGGTCCCTATGGGTGCTACCTCCAGCGATCACTGCACCTCACACATGGCACCGGTAGGATCAGACATCCCGATACCCAGCCTCCCTCTACAAACCCCTTATCCCTTGACTGCCTTCCTCAAGCTCATCCATCCTGTGCTGTTCACTAGTACCACTGCTTGGGAAACAGTTGCTGTGTTGCAGAGGGGTGTGCTGGGTCTGACACAAACGGGCTGCCCTGGTCAGTTGGTAAAGGCAGGCAGAGCAGAGTAGGAGCTTACAAAAACACACAACCAGATTTACCGATTAGCACATGGCTCTGACTTCCTCCAGTGCTTCCAGAAAAGCAATAGGCGACATTAACAAAAGGATAACTCAGAATTCAAAAGCAAATGGGATTTGTGACCCATTATATTAACTGGGGACTGAGGAAACCTCTACAGAGAGAGAGCACTGCCGGCAGGTCACCAAACCAATTATTAAGAGCTCACAGATCACGGAGCTAGATATATACATACATCAAGATAACTTTCTATTTGCCTGCAGAAGGAGGACGCTGGCTGAGCCATGCTCCCAACCCCATGTGCTTTCTCTATGTGCCCATTAAAACTGGATTATATCTAGTTACTTTCCCCAGTAATTTGCTTCCCCCACAGGTTTAATGCTGTGGAATAACATTTGGGAGGGTAAAACCTGAAAGGAGAGATGTAATGGGCATAATTACTTCGATAATTGAAAGAGAGCACAAAGCAGGCAGGCAGCACGTGGTGGGAGCAGGCCAGCAGCACACGTTCACCCCTGCCATCCCTCTTCTTAACAGCAGCACTGGCCTATGCCTTGCTCCAACATCCCCAGCTTCCCTCTGCCCTGATGCTTGAGAGGGACAGCAGCCCTTAGACACAAGATGATCTGCCTCAGACATCAGCTCTCACCTCCATCTCCAGCACAGATCAGTTTAAGCTGCACATTGATAGCTGTAAAACCTTTCCCAAAACTTTTGCCTCAGTCCATTATGAGATGGAATGTTCATGGTAGCCAGGGAACAGGCCAGCTCCTGCTAGCACACTGTCCTGTTTCTGGAGGAGGCTGTGATGGCAAGTCTTAAAGCCCTGTGCACACTGCATAAAGGCTTTATTTTTATTGCATTGCCTATGTTTTCAAGAAGATTCATTTTAATGTTTCTGAATAATCCTTCACATTTCAATTGAGGAATGCCCCTGGGTCTCCCAGCATTGCCAATGAAGTTCTGCCAAAGGATTTTATACCTCCCAAAAGATCTGTTTGTGAAAAGTAGCCTCAACAGCAAACCAGTAGTTAGAACTACCTGAAGCGGTTTCCTGCTGTCAGCACTTTGTACTGCTCTCACAAATTCCTGGCTTTGCTTTTTGTGGGCTTGGAGTTAAGGATCAGGTATGATCAGCAAAGCTTCTGGAGCAGTTTTACCCTGAATTCAAGTTTCACAGTAGCACCCCCTCTTTTATATCCATCTTACCTTTGCAGAGATTCACTCAAGTGCTCCTTTCTGCCTGTCCTGTGTCCTTCCAACGCGCTGGTCATGTCAAAACACAGGGGCATTTTCACAAAATGGAGGAAAAAGATGTCCTCAAAACAAAAGGAAGAGGCTTAACCCACTCCTATCACTGGTGACCTCAACCACACCATTTGCTGTGGGTCTCTGGGCTGCCATGGGCAATGCTCCCCATGCTGCATCCCCTGCAAGCAGCTGAGAGCAGCAGGAACAGGCAGCACTTGCAAGAAACCCCAGTCACTGCCTGAAAAACTTCCTCCAAAGAGCCAGATCTCTTCCAACACAAGCATGGGAATGTGAACAGAACAAAAGCAAAGTGACTGATGCTCCTGGAGACACCTTATCCTCCAGGACAGGGAGTGAGCCCACAGGCAGCAGAACTCCTTCCCTCCCTGGGTGCTCCCTGCACCAGAACAGAGCTCTCTGCTCTAAAAAGCTCAGGGCTGTGTTTGGGAACAACAGCATCTTTCCTCCTCCCAGTTTCCAGAGAGCAGGAAGCAGCATAGCCCGTGGCTCCAATGGCCCCTCCTGGCTCTGCATATATTTATCTTCCCAATGTTAAAGCCTTTGGCTGTTTGGAGCCAGCCAGGAGGAGCAGCAAACAGCAGCTTCCTATCACGTGAGAAAGCATGCAGTTCTGAGCAGTTCACAGTGTATCACAAAACACATTAGCAGGGCTCTGCTTAGGGAGCACCAATTGCCAACCCTCCCAGACAGGGAGGGATATCAGCTAGGGAATGTATTTTGTAGGGCAAGTAGAGGAAAGCTGTATCAGTGAAGCTGGAAAGTGGTTTTGTCAGGACTTGTTTTCTCTCCTTCACTGGAGGGTTGTGCTAGCATCAATTTGTCACAAAGAAAACCTTCATCTCCCTTTTCTAACATGGTGGCTTAACACAATGGCTTAGATGCTGGTGTCTTACACTGCAACTGCACCTTCAATTTGTTTCTGCTCCTGGAGGCTTTTAGGAATAGCTGCTGGACTGCATCACATCAGGGAAAGGTCATCTTGATATGCCTCCTTCTCCCCTGGAGGGGAAAAAGGATCTGGCTTTTGTGTATTACCCACTTGAACAGAAGTATCCTGTGCTGAAAGTCTTTGAGGAGCAGAAACTTCACCCCAGTCTGACTGCTCTCCAGGTCCCCCTCAACATGCAGACTCAGGGGAAGAAAACACTAGGTGCTACCCTTCCAGCAGTTACCAGCAAAATATAACCCACCAGCCTGCCTGATGAGACTTCTGCAAGGAGTATGGGTATAGGTTTGGCCTGCGGCCACCAAGTTCTCAAAGGAAAATAATCAGCCCAGTACAAACCATCAATACAAACTCAACTACAAACCACCCTCTCCCTCTCAGGCTAAAGAGGAGGGAGCAGGCCACACAGAACTGAGCAAAAGCACCTGAGGTGCAAGATCTAGGATTGATTGCTGCAAATGGCCAAGGGCTTTTCAAAAAGGGCCTGTTCCTATGCAGGCTGAGAGCAGGAATTTGTGTTTTAGGTGATGAGAAAACAATTTCAGCTTCCATAAAAGACCAAGCCTTTCACACATCTGCTACAGGTTAAGAACAAAGGCTGTGGAGACTGTTGATTCTGACCTTCCCACTGCTGAAGGGAGCTACGCCTCACACAGCACAGAGAATGCCCAAAGCCTCATCACTCAAGTAAGTCAGAGGGCAAGAACTGCCTGGGTTTGAAGATCGGAAAGCTTTCACTGCAACTTTTTCTCTCTTTTGTGCTCCTGGTTTTGAGAACGATTGAACAGCATTTTATATGCTTTGAAAGTTCTGTTCCAGCTACCCAAAACCTGCCTTTGGCATGGGAAACAGGGCAGAGACCTTGGCAAAGGGGATGCACTAAGCCTTTGCCCACAAAGCTCTGCTCAGTGGCTGTGTGCTACAGAGGCAGCAACAGCCTGATACAGAGGGGAAGAGAAAAGCTTAATCAGGGCTGACTGCACCCATGGGCCCCTAGGCTGATGAGGAGAAAGACTCACCTCTCCCTTCTGCAGGGGCTTTCAGTGCTGGAGAAGGCAATAGCATCCCATTCAGCAATGCTGATCTCAGGCAGCAGCCAAAGCATCTGCAGTTTTTCAGGCACATATTCATGTTAATTTCCTCTTTTCAAATGCTCTTTGTTGCAGACACAGCCTCTTGGAAGGGTGCTTCAAGAAACCCAAGTTTTGTTTTGCTGGTAATTTATGGTAAGCCTGCACCTCCCAAAGTGCCCAGCATTAGAAAATAGAAGGCTGCTGTCCTACCCCCAACCCCAATGGCTTGTGGCATGACTAAGGATAGCTTTAATTTGAGGCCTGCAGCTCAACAGCTCCCAAAGGATTGATAAAATACATATAGCAATCTCCAGTTCCACCTCTGGAAGCTGAACTCTCTCCCAGTGATTAATGATGGCTATTTCCTCCCTCTTTCCTTGCCACTGATTCTCTGTAAGGTCCAGCAAGCCCTGAGCCCACAGCAACATTTATAACCAGGAAAAACCCTCCAAGAAACAGACAGCACCATATAAGCCCAGGACAGATCTTCTAATAAAGAAATTGGGATAATAGTGTCAAGGCCACCTGAGGCAGACCCAGCTGGCCTGGGTTAGCAGTGCTGGCCTAATGCACCACAAATGGGAGCCAAGAACTCCCCAGAGCCACCTTTGGGGTTGTCCCCAGGAGGTAGCAAATGCCAGAGCAGCCTTCCCAAGCCAAGAAAAGCTACCTTTCCAGCCCAGAATGTTGCTGCCCAAGTGTTACCCTCTTTCAGTGTCTGTTATTATAACTTGAGGCTCAAGAGGAGGGCAGTGTGGGTGGGAAAGCAGCACTCAGCTAAAGAAAGCTGCTGCCTATTCCTTGTGCATCTGTGTGCTCCATAGCCACCATGTATCATGGGCTCTAGGACAGAGGCAGCTCCAACACAGATTAAACATTAACAAACTGTGAATACCCCAGCTTCCATCTCTCCCCAGAAACCCACCTTTCTCAGCCTTGTGTTCCCACCTGGACATACAGATAACCCCCAGTGCTGCTCTTAAAGACCAGGTACCAGAGACAAGCATTAGCCACTGCATAGAAGAAACCATTTGAGTTTGAGACTATGACAGAAGCCTAGAGAGGAAAGCAAGCCCCCTGGGTACCACAGCCCCAGGGAATCACACACTTGGGAGAGGAAAAGATCACAACATGCATTTCCAGCAGAAGTGGAGGAGGAGGATTCAACAAGAGCACAGAATTCCCTCAGGAGAACTTCACTTCCAAGTAGAAGTTTTAATATTTATTCAGTACAGGCCTGGTGAAGAGAAGTGGCAAATAAGGCAAAGGCAAATTATCCTCCAGAGCCCACATTAACATCTCATACACACAGACCATGCAAAGCAGCAGCTGTGCTCCTCCCTGGAGTTGCATCCCACATCCTCCCCATCTGCTGGAGCACAGCCCATCCCTTACAAGTCCAGAAGGAATCGATTGACTTTCTTCAGGTATTCTGGCTTCAAGTAATCTCCCAGCTCGTCCTTTGTGACCCACAGGTGATTCCCCTTCAGCTCTGTCTGGGACAAGTCACTGCTCTGGAGGAAGGCTTTGAAGAAGAATACTTTAGCTCCCACAATATCTTCAGTCCTGATGGCCCTGGGGAATTTATACTTGTAAATCCCGTATGGAGCATTCCCCAGGACTTTGGCTTCAATGTGGTCTCCTGCAAGACCCCAGCAATGCAAGAAAAAGAAAACAAGAGGTAAGAACACAAAGCAACAGTAACTGCTCTCCTGTAGTAACAAAAAGGCAGCATAAGCCACTCCCTGTGCCTGGTTCAGACTGACTGCTCCCTCTCAGCAGAAACAGTCAACTGCAAACCTCTTCTCATGACAAAACCAAGCTTGTCTGGAGTCCAGCAAGTCCTCCCAGAGTAACAGAGGGAGGGAACTGAGCTTTGTCAACCCACAGGGAAAAGCAAGAACATGAGTTTGCCATCACTCATCTGCCACAGGGTGACAAGAGGGAAAGAGAAGCCATAAACCTGAAGCAAGCCACAGAGCATCACCAGTCTGCCCCTGCAACATCAGTGAGGGCCAGGCCCAGCAGTGCAGCTGGTGGCAGGCAGAGATCCTGTCAGCCCCATCAGCTCTCTGCACACTGTGGTTGCTCTGTGACAGTAAGCACTTACAGAGCCAGGATCACAGCTATTGCCAGCAAACCCATTCCATTGAGCTCCATCCCTCTGCTACGAAATACCTCTTCCCAGCAGATGGGAGGTGATTTCACTACAGCAGATGGCAAAAATCCCTAAGACAGGGCACAAGAAGGAAACCACTGGGACAAAGTGGAGGGAGGGCTGGGCACAGGGCAAATTACACACCTAAGAAGTTAGCCATGGCTCGCTCAGCCGTGCTTCGCAGCGTCTCCCCAGGCTGCCATTCCTCTTGAGGCAGGAGCCACAGCTCCTGGTTGCCGATTTTCTGCTTCACCAGAAGCATCAGGTTTCTGTCCAGCTTCCTGTTCAGTGATGTTCGACTGTTGCTTTCATCAGCATCTGCCAAAAAACAACACATGCTGGAAACAAAGTCTCCCGGCAGCACTGCTCTGATCCCCCTGATCAACCCTCTGCATCTCACACCCTCCCAGTAATAATACACAGACAGGAACACATCGAACAAGATCTAGACAGAAATGCTTCAGAATCGCAGGATTCAGCTGGAACCCACAGTTAGACTGCACTCAGTTTAAGAAGGAACTTATAGCAAGAAGCCTGGACCTCTACCTTGACAAAACTCAACATGAGAGCTAGGCAGAGCTTGTGAACAAAGAAACCAAACATTTCTACATCTGGAAACAACATCTTTGCATCACGAGAGCGCCAATTCCCTTGTCAGCCAGTCAACTCCTCATGTGCTAACAGTGCTGTCACAGAGTCAACTCTCTTTAAAACAAAAAGACTCAGCGAATACCTTCCCTCTACTGAGCTGCACTCAGTTGTGTCCGGCAAACAATCTGGGTGTTCTCACTCCACCTGAACTTCAGCCTGTACCTGTTATCCGCGGAGCAGCTTTGAATCGAAGGAACTTCTGTTCCCACTTGTCCTCCAGGTCCCGAGCCATGATGACCGTTTTGCCGGGCACTTCATCATCGTAGGCGCTTTCCTTCCTCCTCCGGATCAGCTCCTCCTCCTCCAGCTTGCGGATTTCATGGTCTGAGTAGTGGCTTTTCTCCAGCTCTATCTAGAAAGGCAATGCAGGGAGCTCTTGAGCCATCAGCACTCTGGGCTGGACTCGGCACATAGAATTAAACCAGTTCTACCTCAATGAATGAAAGATGAGGCGAATTTCCGTGCTCACAGCAGGAGCCACCAGCAGGGACATCAACATCTTCCAGGAAGAACATGAGAGCACTATTAAGCCCCACAATACCCAAGTCTCACACAGAGTCCTCACTATGGCTTCACGGTCAGAAACAACATCACCTAAGGTGCCCCAGACTGGCCGTGCAGCGCTGTTATCGCCTCCCAACCCATGGCCCCTGGCCAGCCCCACACCGTGTGCTCCCCTTCCAAGCAGCCATTTGCACGGCCCCAACACCCCGCTCTACCTGCCCCATGAGAGCCGTCATCTCTTCCTCCTCCTTCTCGAGCGGCTGCGTGATGCGGGGCAGCCTCAGCAGGCACATGGCCCCGAAGAGCCGCCAGGACCGGGGCGCGGCCGCGGTGCAAGCCCCCCGTGCCCAGCCCGCCGCCCGCTGCCTGGGCGCTGCCATTGCGCTGTGGCGCAGGCCACAATGCACCGCGCTGCTCGCCGCCATGTTTCCTCCCCGCTCCCGCCGTGCTTTGCGGCGACCTCTCCGGGCGCGCTGTGGGAGCCGCCATGAGCGCGGCGCTGGCGGTCGCTTGGCAACGGCTGCGCGGAGCGGCCTGCGGGTAAGCGGGGACGGCGGTATGGAACCCGGTGTGTGAGGGGATCCCGGTGTGTGAGGGGATCCCGGTGTTCGAGGGGATATCGGTGTGCGAGGGGATATCGGTGTGCGAGGGGATATCGGTGTGCGAGGGGATATCGGTGTGCGAGGGGATATCGGTGTGTGAGGGGATCCCGGTGTGTGAGGGGATCCCGGTGTGTGAGGGGATATCGGTGTCCTCTCCGCCAACTGCCCTTTGCTTCCCGCAGGGGCCGCGCTGCCGCCGTGTGCCGCGGCCTGCGGACCGGCCTACAGGACCTCGCGGAGGCGGTGGCCTCGAAGGAGGCGGAGACGCAAAGCGCGGCCGACCTGAGGTGAGGTGAAGCGGAAGGGTTCCGCCGGTTGTAGCTTGATGGGAGCGTTTATCGACTTTGGTGTTTCCTCAGCTGAGGAAGCGAGTGGTTTGATTCAGTCACAAACGCGGTTTGTGTGTGTTGGAGACTTGATCACCTCTTTCTCCCCCAGTGGCACAGTGTCACAGAATCACACCATTACAGACTGGTTCGGGTTGGAAAGTACTTTAAGATCATCCAGTTCCAACTCCCTGTTAAGATCATCCAGTTCCAACTCCCTGCCCTGCGCAGGGACACCTTCCACTAGACCAGGTTGCTCCAAGCCCCATCCGACCTGGTCTTGAGCACTGCCAGGAATGGAGCAGCCACAGCTTCTCTGGGCACCCTGTGCCAGTGCCTCAGCACCCTCCTAGTGAAGGATTTCTTCCTTATATCCAGCCTAAATATCCCCTCTTTCAGTTTGGACCCATTACCCCTTGTCCTGTCACTACAGTTCCTGATGAATGTGAAATAAAACTTTGCAAAGAGTGAGTATCTGATAACTGTTGTTCTGCTCCTCAGCCCTTTAATCCTGCAGAGGAGCTCCATGAGATGGGATGGAAAGGTCTACGAAGAGATCCCGATAGCTCACATCAAAGCTACGTACAATAAGTAAGCAAATCAGCTGCTGCACTCCTGCTAGCATGCAAAACAAAGGCTTACAACATACCTGGGCTTTAGTCAGTCAGTGTTTCACCAAAAGGCTTAAAGGAAAAAAACCCAGCAGAGTGGTGGTCATTACTAGGAAGAATTCAAACCCCCGTGCTATTCAGGAAGCATAACTGTCCTTACAGTGTCTTTAAGAGCAGTAAGATTGTTATTACATACTTTGACTATATTCTGATATGAATAATTACATGCTGATAACTTAAATGACAGGTTACTTCCTGCTCTAGCACTGGCAGTTTTCTCAGCAGCTGTACAGCAACATATTCTCCATGAGAGATGGTTGTGTTTCAGTAGTGATCCATAGTGTGATATTTTACTGTTTCTCTTTCAAGTTCTAGGAATGTTTTGTGCATTATTTTAATAACGAGAAGAGGTAAAATGCTTGTTGCAAGAGGTGGGTCTGAAAGGGCTAAGCAGTGTCTGAGGTGTACCTGAATAAAGTATACCTTATCCAGGAAGGTTGTACCGCCTTGCTCAGATTCTGTGGGATGATGGAAAGGCAAATGCTGGGAGGTCTCTGGTTGGTTCATGTAGGTGGGATACCTCAAAAGGGAATGCTGAGTGAGGGTGGCCTGGAGAAAGGGGACCCGGGGCCTATGCCAGTAAGATGAGTGAGAATAAAGTTTTGTTACAGCTTATTTCTTTTGCCCCTGTCTTTCTGTAGCACCCACGTCCAAGTGGTCACCTTTGACAACATGTCATTGGCCCACACATCCTGTGGCACAGAAGGCTTCCAGAATGCCAAGAAGGGAACTGCCATTGCGGCACAGACCGCAGCCATGGCAGCAGCAGTGGTGAGTCTGCACTGGTGACCCTCATCCTCCTGGACAGGAACACCCACCACCTCCCCAGAACCTGGGTCCATCCATGCCTCGCCCTCAGTGCTTGAGATCCAAAGGAGCTGCCTCCACGTGGTGGCAGCACGGCTATGCTTTGCAGCACATTTCTCATTTTCAATTTGCAAGCCCCGTGTGCGTTTTGGCACTGAAGGTGTGGACTCCTGCACAGCAAATATAAAGCTTGTCTGCTTTTCTCATTTGCCCTCTAGAAGGAATGCACTGCTCACAGGAGAGAAGTTGCCGCACTAGAGAAAGGAAAACAGCTTTAAGTTAGGCCTTGTTAGTCCCTTGCCAGTTCAGTCACGTATTCATGGATATGTCATTTTCTGTCCTGGCTTTAGGTCACAGATAGTTTGATTTCTGTGTATGCAGCCCTGAAAGCCTGGCACAGTTCTGAAGCTGCCCTGGCTATATCCAGGTTCCTTTACTCCTAGCATCTTTGTGCAGTAATCCCCATATTTGCCTTCTGTATCCACTACTACGTACTCTTTACTTAAAGAATACTATGATAGTGGGTCAGAAAGGAATGGAAGAGCCCAGGGAAGCCAGAGCAGCAGTAGTTAGATCACAGAGAACACTAACAAGTTCTTCTTGCAGAAAGCCCGTGGGAAAGGTGTGCTGCATGTACGAGTGATGGTGAAAGGACTGGGACCGGGACGCAAAGTAGGTGCCAGTTTCTTTATACATTTTCCTTTCTCAGGCATCATCCAGGGATTTTAAACTCTGGCTGGTCTCATGCCTGTACCTGTGAACTTGGTTCTTCTGAAGGTGATGTAAAGAACTCATCACTCAAGTGCCTAGTGATGAAGTTTTAGAATTCCAGAGTTCTGTCACTTTGGAGGCAGAACAAAAGCTGTATTTGGGACTTCTTTCAAGTAGGAAAATTGCTGGGAATGCCAATGAAAGGAGCAGATAGATTTAAACTGGGTTTTCTGACACAAATTACTTAGGTTTAAGATAATTACAAAGTAAAACCACTGGAACAAGCTGATTTTCAGACAGGGACCAAGCTATTTTTCCCTGAGCTTTTTGCCTTCTCTGCTGTTCACTGTGTCTTGTGCTATCTTGTTCTTCCAGGCCGCCATCAGGGGGTTGACAATGGGGGGTTTGGAGGTCATCTCCATCACTGACAACACCCCAGTGCCACACAACGGCTGCCGCCCTCGGAAGGCCAGGAGAATGTGAGGGGGGAGCGCAAGAGACACACAGCATCCAACATTGGTTCATGCAACAGCATCTGAATGTTGCTCCTGTGATAGATTCTGGGAATCCACCCTCCCTGGAAATACTTGTTGAGGGAAGCTTGAAGAGAGACCATCCTGGACCTTAAAAGCCCAGGTGGTAAAAGCAGGAACACGTGTACTCCCTTAGTGGGAAGCCTCTTGTGTATAAAGTTTGTTGATTAAAATGTTGGTCTTTTGACAGTCATTCCTGCTGTGTTCCCAGAAGTATTCTGTATTATTATTGCCTCTCGACTGCACTCTTCCTCTTACCACCGTATGTGGCTCTTGTCTCACCCTCTGTGCTATTATTGTCCTTGTTAGATGAAGGGGAGCTTGAGGTGTAGATGTCCTTCTAATCATGTGTAGTAAACAACTGCATGGGGTCACATCAGCTTCCTTCCCTCTTACTGTACACATTTGGAAACAAAGCATGGGGTAACACTTCCCCTTCCCCTGGCTCGCAGAGGTCAGGGTGCTATGCAAGAGGCAACTCCATGTCTGGATCCCCTGTTGGAAAAGAGCTGCTGTGGTGCTTTGTTTCACCCAAGCTGCCAATGCTGCTGGAAAATACCAGTCCTAAAGGGGCTGGGATCTTGCCGGTTTTGATGCTGACAGCCTCCTTGCTCCTGCCTTGTGTACCATGAACTCTGTTTTCTGGGGTCCTGAGGAAAGCCAGCAGAGGGGAAGCAGGCCTGAGGAACAATAAAATGCTGAAAGGAGATTTAAAACACATAAGTGTTGAACTGTACCACTCTATAGCCACAGGCAGCATGGGCATGTCATGGGGCTGTGATGTATTATTGCTGTCCCAGCTCCACCCAGAGAGAATTTCTGCCAAGGTAATACGTCTGAGACTCTCTGGAGCATTAAGCAGGGAAGGCAACAGCAGTAACTGACTACAGGATTGATTTTCCTGGATAGCAGAGGCAAAGGGCATCTCCCCAAAATCCTGCTGCCAGAGAAGCCCTGGCCACATCCAGCACACGCTGGGCAAGCATTTCACCTGTAAACAGTGTATTTTGGTGAAGGCAGCAGTTCTATCACAAACCCAGCATCTTCTTTTCTGTTATTTCTCTTTCTGTCGTTCCTCCTTAGCTTCTTAAATTGCATAATTAACTATTCTCTTCCTCTTTAGAGAAGGGCTACCATGGCAACGAGTCAGTGAACCTCCTTCATGAGGCTGAATGGCATACGGCAGGTTTTGAAAGAAATCTGCCTGCTTAGAAGAGCCTGTTGAGTTGCATTTGACAGAAGAGAAGAAAACAAGATTCAGGTGAACCCCCTACCTTATTCTTGCTATCTCAATTTGATTAGAGGGTAGGTTATCTTAAAGGGAAGTTCCTTGAGCTGTCACAGATCTGACAGCAAAGAAGAGAGGCTCTTCCATAGATGTTTGACACACTAAAAGCTTCCCCCTCATTCCAGAAATATGGCTGAGCTTAAAGTGACTTCATATTCCTCTTTTAAAGGAGAAGATATTCAGGTCAGCTATAAACTGCAAAGATCAAACCTCCCAGTACCCAGATAGCTGGATAGGGAGGGCACATGTGAGCACTGATGTGCCTTAAACAAGGCTGGGTCGGCTTCTGTGCCAAGCACAGTGGCCAGCCCTGGAAGGGAGGAGCACCAGTCCGCACTGGCAGGCTTGTCAGTGATGTACTAACACACTGAGAAAACCGAACACTACCCCTCTCCACCACAAGCTGCTCATTGCATCAATGCAGAAGTGCCCACATCAGGTAGAGATGAGAGAACAAATGGAAAAATAAGATTGGGAAGAGATTTGCAGTCTCTGAAATTCA